CAATTGTCGGTGTAGAGCCCTAACCATAAATAACTACAGTTCTCTCATTATCCATGGCAGAATGGCTCCAAGACACACACACACATACACCCATACCACAGAACAATCCACAGATGTTCAAGATTCTCATCTAAAATGCCATAATATTTGCATATAACTTATGCATATTTTCCCTTATGCTTTAAAGCACCTCTGGATTATTTATAGCATCTAATACACTGGAAAAATTATGTAAATGGCTGTTAAATTCCATTATCTGGTGAATAATAAACAAGTTTTCCTCAAATATTTTTAACTAGTGGTTCATCAAATCCAAGAATAGGTAACCTATAGATGCAGAGACCTGTACATGTATGCATGCATGCACATGTGTATCTGTGTAGTTATACACATTTATATATAAATCTTGTTCACAGTGCTTTTCATTAAAATGAAGCTTTAAACTAATACAATTCATCAAATCTATCCTCTGGAGTTGTCTCTTGAATAAGAAGTTCCTCTTGTTTTTAAGTTACATGTCTTTACAGTTTTAGATTTTTGCTTTTTTAATTTTTCATTATTGAAAGTTTTACGTATTAGAAGATATGAGAAAATGATCAAATTTTACACTTTGACCAACTGACAAGTATTAGTATAACTAACACTTTAGAATTTGCGAAGAAAAATTCCACATCTAAAACAAACATGGGTTTAAATTTAAATCTTGAGTTTGTTGCTCAAATAAAAATTAGAAATATCTGACAATAGGAAAGAAACAAATCATTTATTCACAAGGAAACACTATTATGCATTTGCAATGAAATAAAACTCAGATACAGATATATCTCACAATAGGATTAACAAAAAATAATTTTAAGGTATCTACAGACTTTGATTTTTTTCTCCCTAATGAAGTTAAATTTCTTGAAACACTAAATATAGCCTTTATTCTCCAACCATCTGTTCTCAAACAGCTTAAATTAACCCTTGTTTTCATTACTTTATAGAGAGAAAGCTGTACTACTATAGCAAATGTGAAAACATCTAACAGCTAGTTTTAGTCTGTGGCTATTAAATTCACTTTGTATGTGTGTGTGTGTGTGCGCATGTGCGTGTGCATGTGTGCTGTGCTGTAGATCACCTCATTTTTTTTCAAGGCACTTTCATACCTTGGCTTCTGTAAACACAAATTAATCCACATTACTCCTCTTATTTTCCATTTCTTTCTCTGACTAATATAAAATAGTTTCTTTATGGTCAATAAATTTTAAAGTTATTCAAAACTTGGACACAGGCCATTTTTTCCTTACCCTATACTTTCTATCCTGAAATGTTTAATTGTATCCCTAATTTCACAATCTCAGGAGACAGCACTGCCTTGCACCCACATATGCAGCAAGTCAAGAGTATATGGAGCTATTCATTACACTATTCTTTCCTCACATTGAACCCAATAACCCAGTCTAAATCTATTCATGTCTTATTCTCCATTGGCACTCTGGTAGCCCATCACTGTAGACCATCTCACCTGAACTACTAAAAATACAACAGCCCTCCCCATACAGCCTCTGACCCTTTGACATTTCATTTCTTGCCATGTAGAGAATTACTCTTTTGTGGTTTTCAAAATGTAAATCTGAATATTTCAGAACTTCATAATATCCTCAGTTATCTTTCATTATCCTAATCAAAACTAACAGGGGTCTATAAAGTCTGTGTCTTCTTTACAAATCTTGGTTCATAGTACTCTCCCGTGCTGCATGGTTATCTCACCTCACTGGCCTTTTATTCAAGTATTCCATACCCCATGTTGCTCTAGTATCTTTACAGACAAAATTTCTCTCCACAGAATGTACTTTCAACCTATCCTCCATCCTCTCTCACTTCTGTGTTTTCCTGGTATCTCCTTTCAAGTCTCATTTCTTCAGACTGTGCAAGCTAAGAAGCCAAAATCTTTAGTTTGTAATTACATAGCTATGTCTTTGACTGCTAGAATTAATGTCTCTATTTCACTGTAATTCCATGACAGAAGGAAAGGGCATCACTAGCATCCATCAGAGCCCTATGCATTTAGTATGCACTCAGAAGTGTGCTGACTGAATAATTCAGGATTACAGTTCAGTACCATTTCAAAAATAAGTGCAATATGCACTACAGCCACTAGAGGCTGCGTTGTTTCTCTTTTTGGGCCTCCTGGACAAGAGCTATCCCCACATCATGTTTCAATGATGATAAAATATCAACATGCATATGCTATCTTTTTATTGCCAAAAACATGTATATTAATATTACATATTTCTTTTTAAAGGAAATTATTTTATTCAGATTTATTGAAAAAAAAAACCTTTATTTGCTATGGATGAATTGCTTGGAAATCTCCAAACTGTATAATCATTACAAGTTTAGAAAGACATACCCACATACCAATAAAAACTGTATCAGTCTTATAGCTATAGAATGTTTATCACACTGAGAAAACTAAAATATTAGGTATTATTAAAACTTTAAATCAAAAACTTTCATTTAAAATGTTACTTTTGATTACTTTGACTATTAAAGCTAAAAGACAATTTAACACTAATACTATTGAAGTATTTCTAAAAAAGCTCATATGCCACAAATGATGTTATTAATGAAATATTAATATAAATAAGATATGAAATTCAATGACTATCCTTATTATTCAAAGGAAACATTATCTGTAAAAGCCTAGATGAATGTAAATCTTCCAAGTAGGAAGTTTTCCAACATTATTAATAATAAATTACAAGTAGAGATCAGAAATTATTAATATTCTAGTGTGTTCTACTTCTTATAAATTTTTAATTGATAACTAAAGCCCTACATATTGTAGGGGGAAAGTATCTACTGTGAAGATAGGCCAGTTGATTTGTTATAGGTTTGCACTGTCACATTAACAAGTCCAGGGCTGGGGCTGGAGATTTAGCTCAGCGGCATAAGCGCCTGCCTTGCAAGCAGGCATTCGTGAGTTCGATCCCTGGCACCGATAAAAATGAAAAAGACAAAAAAAAAAAAAAAAACACAAGTCCAGGGCTCCTGGATAGGAATTAGGACACTACAGGTTTTACAGGAACTTGGTCATGAAAGAATCACATCAACTCCTTACAACTCTGAGGAAATACATTAAATTTATTTCAATTTGCTTTAGAATTCAAGACCCTAACTTGAAGCTATTCTCTCTTAGAGAACTGGCCTTGAACTAGCAGAGAGCCTCCTGCCTTAGACTCCAGAGCACTGAGATTACAGTAGTACACCACCAAGCCTGGTAATATTCACAATTTTGACAGATGAAAGCAAATGAGGCAGGAAGCTAGGTTTTAATTTTTTAAGGTTTCACAATAAATATTGCTTATCACTGGGGTCTGAACTTAGGTTGTTACTCTGATTAGCACAATTTTCTTCAGGAACCCTAAGTGTAGATTTCTAAAGATCCCATTACAGAAATGAAAACCCATTTCTCATGTCCTTTCTATTCCATTCAATAATCTTATCTTTCTATATTCCAGAAATTGTTTAAACTTTTAATCTCTCTGGAAAACTCAATTAAAATAAGGGCCACCAATTTCTTTTGCTAAGAAGGCTGTATTTTGATACTACAGTAATTTTTCTAATGCCATCGTTTTTTCCTCACATTTTTCAATATATGGCAGAGAAAAATATATAGCATTAGAACATCAAAAGTGTTACTAAAAAATGCTTCAAAATTCTAAGTCCTAATACTATTTGGAGGGGGAGCCTTTTTGGCAAAAATCAATCAAACAAAAAATTTCCAAATCCCTACCCGAATGTAAATTTTTGATTATTGAGCCTGGGTAGACAGAAATTAAAGCTTACACTTAAATGTAGGCATACTTTCACATGGAAATCAATAACCTGAACTAAGGTTATACAAGAATGCTCTATGTCTGTTTTTCCACACACAAAGAAGATATTTTGGTTATAACTATTGCTATTTATTTTGGTGCCTACTGGAAGCTGTACAGTAATAAAGGAAATCTAAAACCCACAAGTGGCAAGTATTGTGTGAAGAAAATAGAAGCTATCAAGAATAGCCTAAAACTGGTGACTGGAAAATTTTTATTGCCATAGAATGAAATCAAAGACAAAGATAAAAAATAAATGTCGACCTTCCAAACTTAGGAATATAGCTGCCTTGCGTACCGACGCTTCATAAAACTCTCATTCAACTTTTAAAATAGTAAGTTCTACAATCAAAACCTTGATTCTGAGTTGGTAGTGGTGGCGTTTGTAATCCCGGCACTCCGGAGGTTGAGGCAGGAGGATCACAGCGAATTCAAAGTCAGCCTGAGCTACACAGTGAAGTCAGGTAGCCTAAACTACACAGCGAAATTCTGCATAAAAAAATTAAAAACTTGATTCTGGACCAAATGAAGGAGTCAGAAAGGCTCCAAGGCACTGTGGGACAAGAATGCCTCTGGAACTGAGACTAATTACATTAGTTCCTTTAAATAATAGGTTTCACTAGTGGAGTTCGAATATTTATTAGTGGCTTGGTCATTAAGCTCTTTAGGCTTAAGCTTACTTGTTTTTCTACTGTGAAAGATGATTTAATATTTGAAACTCCTTCTTATGCAAATTTGTACAAAATCCTGTTTATTGAACACCTAATAGCTTGCTGTACAAGTCGAGCTGTCTACAGATTCCGGCAAATCCAAGTCCCAGAGTCCCATTTTCCATTCAGTCTCTCCTCCCCGCACCCTACAACTTTGCAGGACTAAGTTCGAGAGGGAAGGCGCCGCTCCCCGAACCGCAAGTCGGTGCTGTCACTAGGCCTCCACAACGAGCAAGTGCGTGGCTGGGTAAGGCTGGCGCCAAATTATGACTACTCCCCTGAGCAATTTACTATCGACGCGCAAAAAATGTCATTGAATGCTACGGGCGACAAAAGGTGAAGCGTGTTAAGGAAGCGGCAAGTCCGCAGGAGTAAGATCACAGCTTCGGGGTCATCGCACTTCAGCGCACTGGTTCCTAGACTTTACCTGCGGTCCGGGTCAGACCTGACTTCGGGAACGAAACCTTCTCAGGGCGAAGGCAGAACCCAGCGGCTTTAAAGCTCTCAGGCAAACTGAATCTCTGTCCCCTCAAACGCTAGGCCACAGGGTACCCTTACTGCACCTGCACAATCGCTCCTCAGTCGCCGAACGCCCCAACACTTACCCCGCCGCGGCTGCTCTCGCGATAACTCTCGGGCCAGTCCCTCGTAACTCCGGCCAATCCTGAAAGAGTAGGGGCGGAGTTTTGCGTTTGAGCCCCGGAGCGGGTCCTCCACTCAGTCAGACACGTTCACTGAGAATGGGAGGAGCTGAGACGTTCTGGGGCGGAGCGAGGGCAAAACACGCACAGTTCTCGCGAGAGTGGATACCAGGAAGACGCCTGCAGAGCCGGCTGCTGGTGCAGCGACTGCCGAGGGGGTGGCTGGTACTCCCCTGGACTCTATTTTCGAACCTGCCACTGACCTCTAAGAAGGGAGGCAGGCACTGGTCTGGCTGGAGTTGTACAGGTGCGCAGTGCCTGCTGCAGCCCATGAGGATTCAGGCTGCGGCCTTTTGGATATAGTTAAGAAGGCGCCCACACTACTGACAGAATAAGATGGCGGCGATGGCGCCTGGAGGTGGTGGCAGTGGCGGCGGCGTGAATCCATTCCTCAGCGATTCGGATGAGGACGAGGACGAGGTAGCAGCCACCGAGGAGCGGCGGGCAGGACTTCGGCTGGGTGCCGGCGGTGGTCTAGATCCTGGCTCTGCGGGCTCACTATCGCCACAGGATCCCGTGGGGGGCTGTGCGCGACCCGGGCTCTCTGGGGAGGCGTCCGCGGCCACAGTAGCCTTGGGGGGTACAGGGGACACCCCAGCCCGTTTGTCAATTGATGCAATCGCGGCTCAGCTGTTGCGGGATCAGTATTTGCTGACTGCCCTGGAGCTGCACACAGAGCTACTAGAAAGCGGCCGCGAGCTTCCTAGGCTGCGTGATTACTTCTCCAATCCCGGCAACTTCGAGAGGCAGAGTGGGACCCCGCCGGGGATGGGGGCGCCTGGGGTCCCTGGAGCAGCCGGCGTTGGAGGCGCTGGAGGTCGGGAACCGAGTACAACGTCGGGCGGGGGACAGCTCAGTAAGTGGACGCAACCAGTCTCGTTCCTACGGGGTTGTTGGGACTGTGAGAAGGTGTTTCTGGGGTATGGTGACTATCAGAGCGCTTTAGGGAAGAGAGAAAACGGGATGGAGTGCTTTTTATGGTGGAAGCAAAAGGCTCCTGTAGTGACTGTTCCAGGCTTTGGCTGGTGTTGCACTTGCTTCTGACTCCTCTGTTGACGTTGGTACAGTATCTGTAAGATATCAAAGTTTCCAGTTTACTGGCTATTTCACTCCTTAAGGCTCCCTTGTGAACCGACTTATTGCTGTAAATCTTTTGCATTTTTCTCTAATCCGAATCTCACTACCAGCAAATGTTTGTCAAAATGCCCGCAGTAGTTTTTTGAATCAAAGTCAAGAGAGAAAAAATAGAAAATGTTGCTACCCTCTAAAAGTCCGATGCATGTAAGACCTGTTGAGTGAAATTTCTGATGCACAAAAGTTGTTCTGAATAAAATCAATATAATTACATTTCAGTGCCTTAATATCAATAGTGTCCAAATTATAGCAAAGCTAAGGTGCAGAGCAGTCAGCTTCTGCCTGTATTCAGTCTCCTGATCCAACCAGCATGCAGGCTTTTTTCTCGCATTAAATAGAAACTTAAGTTTTTCGTTTCTTGTTTTTTTTAAATTTTGCTGTAATCATTTTTAGCAACTAAAGTAGTCATTTGCCCCATTCATCATTTATTTATAAGCGTTTTTTATAGTTTGAAAATTTACAATTGAAGATGATCTGTAGCACTTCCAGTATCCTCCTTTTGAGAGGGATCTTAGACTTTCTCACTGGTGGTGAAATATTTTAGTCTCTGATATAAGGCCAATTCGAATTTATTAACAAATGCTAAAGCTCAGTTTTTAAAACTGTAGCCTAAATGATTTTTTAAAAATCTATACTTTTGAATGATGCTAGTGACTTAAATTGCTATTTAGCAATTTAATAGGTGTTACAGAAATACAGAGTGCATTTTCTATCAAGGTAAATCCTAACCACATTTCCTTCTTAAAATATAAAATTTTCACGGTATGTATAACTTCCTTAATACATAGGGTAGTTCTTTTGAGAAAGAGGTTTTCTTATTGTTGATCTTTAAGACTATAATTTGACAAAGAGCAAGTGTTAACAAAATTTTGTATAGTTATTTTAAAAAAGATTTCCAAATTACCTAATGATTCTTACTTGACAAACTCCATATGCTCTCCAGATTTATTCAGTTGCTTGGTTCTTTCGCTGTACCACTTTCAAGCCTTCATAATAACCTTTAGTTCGTTTGTATTTTATTTGACTTACTTTAATCATCTTCTGCTTTTAAATCTTCTCTCTCTATCTTACATATCTTTTCTCAAAACTATTTTTTGCTGTACTCGGGATTGAACCCTAACCTTTGCACTTAGCTATGTCTCCAGCCCTTTTGTTTCTATTTTTTTATTTTAAGGCACTGTTTCACTAAGTTGTCCAGACTAGACTCACACTTGCTATCCTCCTGACTCAGTCTTCTAGAGTGCTGAAGTTACAGATGTTGCCACACCATCTTCTCAGAACTCTGTGAGGGTATATTGTATCTCATTATATGCAATGTTCCTTTCTGTAGTATCATCAATGCACAGATCTGGTTGTTTCCTTTCCTTTGCAAGTTCCCATCTCTTCAGCTTTACAAAGTAGCTCCTCACGTTGAGATTGGGTTTAGTACTCTTCTGCCTGCTGAGAGAGAAAATATCAATAAAATATTTCTAAAATTTATTAGGTTCACCGCTGTTAGCTGAATGAGATCTTCCATTATCGTCTGATTTTTCATATTGTCTGGATCATTGACATTGTTAAATATAACTATTGTAAACCCTATATTTTTCTTGCCTATATCATTCCAATTTTTTCAAAATTATTACGTGGAAATCTAATCAAATATTTGTCCATCTGCTACCATAACTTGAGTATCTTTGGTAGTTAATAGTTTTACATTGATATAACATTGTGATCAGTTTAAGTGTATAGTCCAAAAGCTTACATAGATATCCTTGAGTATATATTCTTGATGGAGAGGCAAGTGTAATACATGAAAAACACACAGCAATCTTCCGTAATAATGTTAACATTCTTATAGGAAATAATTTTTGATTGTAGAAATCAAGTGGCTGTTTTAGAGAAAGTAAAATTTGACTCTCAAAAGTACATGAAATTTTGAATAGGCAGTAACTATCATTTGGCTATATTTTAACTCCGTTTGTAAGAGAAAGTAAAGGGAAAAAGAAAGATAGATTTTCCTTGTATGAAACATTATCTGGGAACATGAAGCTCTCTGCTTACCACATAATGTGATTCCATTGGTTAACTGAAAAATGTAGTATGACATGTAGTATTCTGGTGGCAAGACAAGGGTGTTAATCTGAGGAAACAGACCTATTACTGTTAAAAGTTAAAATGCACTTTTTTTTCAAACAATAAAATTAAGGATGATCCCCAGAATGTATGTTTGTTCATTTGTTTAAAGCCTTGATTAGTTGCTTAATGTTTTTAGGTCAAAACTAAATTTGGATAAATTTGATCAACAGAAAAATTGAAAAAGATATTAAATGTTAAAGCCTGTTTTTTTACTAGTAGTTTTTTTTTTGGGGTTTTTTTTGTTCGTTTGTTTTATTTTTTACTAATGTCTGCCTGTACACACTGTAGGATCTGGTGATACATTGTGGATAAAAGTACCTTATTATTTGAGGAAATAACTTTTTCTATTTGGCTATATTGTAAATACAGTCCCTCTTTGATTCGTCTATGTTACCTTAGGTTTGATCTGCTTCACGTGTCTTACAAGTGAGTGCTGGTTTCAATAATGCAGTTACTTTGTAAAGTGATTGCCAGCCCCATTTCATTGAGTTGATTCTCCAACTCTACATACACATAAAATTTCTATAAGCTGCAGAATCTACACAGGAAAATCTGAACATGTTAAGTGTAAGTTGGTTAATTTTATTTAAGAATAGATTCCTTATAGAGTCCTGAAAGGTGAATGCTCAATGTAATTGAATACAGCAGTGGTATTTGTTACGATTCAGTAAAAGCTGATAAACTTCAGTAAGATCAAGAAGAACACCTGAGAGCAGATATGCTTAGTAAGATGGATGGCAGATCTCTCATGTTAGTATGAACAAAATAGAAAAATAAGAATGTGATCACAGTAGCTGTGGAATGATCTGTCAGCGATGAAACATGAGGGCTGGGCTTGATGGTACATGCCTGTAATTCCAGCTAGTCCTGAGGCTGAAGCAAGAGGATCACAAGTTTGAAGGCCAGCCTGAGTAACATAGCAAGTCTTTGTCTCAACAAACAAACACCAGTAGGTCTGTACCAGTCTAAGTCAAGTAGTTTTGAACTCAACCCATTGTTTAAAGACCACTGGACTTCTACCAGTGTCTGATTTTCAGGTCTTTCTGCCATTTACCAGCTCTGTCACTTTGGGTAAAAAACATTTTTTTTTGAGCTTTTTATTTTGAATAACAGGAGAGGAATCATTTCTGTTCACTGCTATTGTAGGGTTTTAATGAAGTCCAAGTGAGAACGTATGCGAAAAGACTTTAGAAATTCATTGTATAATGATTTGTTTTATGAGAAAAAAAAAGTGAACCACTAAAGGAAAATACTAGATCAGATTTACTGATAAGAAAGGATGAAAAAGATATTAATTAAGCTGGACTAATGGATGCTTGATGTCCTAATTGAAATAATTCCACCTTATTTTTGCAAAATGCTTAAAAGGCATTTCAAATGGAAAAAAAAAAAAGTAGGACCAGGGATGTAGCTCAGTGGTGTAAGTGTCTACCTGGCAAGCAAAGGTCGTAAGTTTGATCCTCAGTACCCTCCCCCAAAGTTTACAATCACATATTAGAAACATCAGTGCTTGAAATTCACGTGAAAAATGTGATATCATTTCTAATTGAATAATGACCATACAACCAAAGAAATCTGGTAATTTTAAAGGGAAAAATGCATAACATACATGGTATGTTCATAACCGAGACTTTGAGCTCAGACTA